CGCTGCTTTGAAAACCCTCCACGTCGCTGAGTTCCAGTTGCCCCTCATCGCTCGGCGCGCTACCCGACGTTTGGTAAGGGCCTGCTCCAGCGCTGCTCGCGTCTCTGGGGTCTCACACCACTCCTTCGTGCGACGTCTCCGCGGTTCCTCCCCCAGGGTCGTCCGCGCTGCGTCAAGGAGAGCATTGGTAAAGTCGGTCGCCAATTCCGCGGCGGTGGTTGTTCGCTCGTCCAGTCGTGTGTCGAGGTTGAGGAGGAACGGATTAGTCACCGCACACCGTGCTGCTTCGAACCGCAATTCCCGTCGGTTGAATTGCTTCTGTTTCGGTTTAGTCCGGACTGCACGGTTGTGGGCAAGCCTGTCACCGNGGGGATGACGACCACGTTAGATACTCGGCCGTGATGTGCCTGCCTTGTCCGGATGTAGTCAAGGCGCTTGCAATGGGTTCCCGACACATCGTTGTATGTGTGCCATATTCCGCCCTTGCTTGTCTCAAAGAACGTGTTCGTGAGAGCTAGCTTGTTTTCCGTTGCGAAGTTCAACAGTAGCATGCCATTGTGGTTGAGCTCATCACGGCCGTACATTCCTATTACCCTTCCGTCCCCTCCGTCCAATCTATCGACCCGTTCGCGCGTTGGCGTCCAGTAGGACATACACGCATTCTTTGGAAGGGATCCTCCGCACGAGACTGTCAAGTTTTCCCCAGAACACGCGCTTGCTGTCGGCGGTTGAAGGTTCGGTTGGAGCATACGCGGCTACGAAGTTGACCGCTCACCACCGTGGCCTGCCAACGGAAACCTCATGGCCATAAGGCGTTCGTCGATAAACTCCGTAGTGAAGGTGGATGTCTTTCACAGTGACTCTTTGACGGCTATCCCCACACCATGGACTCCACCAGTCTCCGTGCCACAGCAGAACACCCGGAAACCCGCTGCGGCAAATTTCCGTTCGACCTGCCCTCCGTGTCTCCTTCATTCCTATGCATACCATGGATAGGTCTTGTCTCGCTGCCTCGTGTAGAACGCTGTAGGCTCGCCCGTATCCATCGGCCCCGTTTACAGTCAAAGTCCGCACATTCCAGGTTGCTACCCTAAGAAGTTGACCCTGCTGTCTCTTTCGCGCGGCGCGCGCTGCTCTCTGAGCTAGCCTACGCGCCGCCCGACCCCTCCTTTTCCCCCATCTTCCCCTCTTATTTTGTTTTTTTGCTATTTTCTTGCGAACACTCGGGCTTACGTGATAGTTACCCCGGTTCTTGCCTTGTTTCCCATAGAGTTGTCTTCTTGTCCCGGATAGGTGTGGCCCTCCATCTCTGGACGCTCTCCTTTCCTCTTTCTGGGGCATACCCCCACCGCGTGCGGCCACTCCGCCACCCTCACCGTGCTCTCTGCTGCTGCATAGCCCCTGTGTCCAAGCGGGGGCGCTCGGATCGAGTCAGATGTGGCGACAGTCGTAAAAACACCTTGTTCGTGCGAAATTTTCGCGGTGAAAGGGTTGTTGGCGCATGCATCCTTTCTGAGTCAGTCCGAGAGAGGTTTCTCCTTTTTTTGTCAGAACGTTTGTCGATAGCAGTTGAAAGGTAAACTACGCGGGGTGCAGCAAGCACGTTCTGGACGTTACTTTGGGGCACTGGGTAGTCGGCCGTGTTAGGCCGAGAGAGAGAGGTTGAGAGAGAGCGTTGGAGAGAGACGGTGGTGGTGGTGGAGAGAGAGAGAAAGTTGTACGCAGCACGCACGCAAGCCTCATCATCGCACCGACCACGCCCAAAGGGTCCCCGTGACTGCACCGGTGGTACCCTTCAACACACGAAATTCCCAACACGTATCCCCCTGGGATCCTCACGACGAGATACTGCTGCGAGAATATCTAACATCTCTCCTGCTTGCAACAGTTTCTCACTGAAAACGTCGCTAACACTCTATATCTCAACCAAAAGACGTCATTCCCAGAAAACCTACCATGATGACTTGACCAGAATAATATAAGAGAGAAAAACAATTCAAAGAAGTATGAATGCTGCATCGCGCTTAACAAATACTTGGCGCGGGAAATGAAACAAAACGGGAAACAGAACAAGACCAAAACACAACCCATGAGAAAAACAATAAAATGTTCATGCCAAATTCATCACAAAATCACGGCGAGACCCGAAAGCATCCTTCGACAAACTCTTCGTAAGAAAGTCTGCACGCTGGTACGGCGACGGCACGTGGATGACCGAAATTTCCTTCTTCTCTACCAGTTTCCTGAGAAAATGGTGCATTACATCTATGTGCTTCGACTTCGAGTTTGAGATGGGGTTCTGCGCTAGTTGAATCGCGCCCTGGTTGTCCTCGAAGATGGGGATGCACGGCATGCCGACCTGCGGCAACATGAAACGCCAAATCTGCCTCAAAAACAAAATAATCTCCTTCANTGTGAAGGCGTGGGAGCGGGCGGCGGCGTGGTCGCTGGCGACGGCGTTGCGGCAGGGGGCGAATCGGCAGCGGGAGCGGGAGCGGGAGCGGGCGACGGCGTGGGCGCTGGCGGCGGCAGTGCTGCGGTCGAAGGCGTCGGTGCTGGACCAAAGTTGATCGAGACGACCGGCGGCGTGAACGGGGGGGGTGTCGGCGCAGCGGTGATACCAGCGGAACCCCCCTCGCCGGCTGGCGCCGACGTCACCCACGACACGTTGTTGATGTAGGCGATGCGGACGGTGGACGCCTTGAGGACCTTGACGGTGCCGCTCGGGTGGTTTTCGCCGCCGTTCAGGTAGTAGCAGAGGGTGGCCTGGTCGTCGAGCTTGGTGCGGCGATCCTCGCGCATGAAGCCGGGCTGGAAGAACGGCAGCACGCGGAACGGCC